CAAGAAGCCACAATTTCAGTGGAGACACAGCCATTGACGATTGCCGCTATCGCTTACAGCGAAATTTTCCCTCTTCTTTCAGCTTGTTGCCAGTTCCAGTGTCCTACGTTGGCCTTCCAATTACGCGGCGACTCCAGGCAGCCATCTGTACAACAGCTGCATCAACAATAACAAATGCATTACCAGCACAAACTCAAGCTGTTCTTTTCCTGACTTATCTGCCTATGCTGCCCTGCCGCTACGTTGGGCTACCAGCTATCATATGATAAACGCAAATGGTCATAGTATTATACAGTATATTATGACGAGAGATCCGCGTCGTCCATTTTGACAAAAGTGCCGAAAAGGGTAAAAAGCAGTGCATAAAACTTTGCAGGCACAAGTGTTAGCGATCTTCCTCGACAAAAATCGCGAAGATCGTCAAAAGGCCATCAACCGCCGCACACGGCAGTGATACTGGCTGTTGGAAAGACTGATGAGAACTCGGACGATATGTTGACCAGCTAAGCGCCATGGTATTCTTCCGAAGCCATTTGGCAACAAATAGAACGCTAAAGGCTTTGAGTTGCATTCGATAGTGATGAACCTGTTGGCGACGTTAAATTGGGATATTTAATACTTAGCATACCGTTACACTGGCAATAATATGCTGGCACGTTTATCTAGCGGGCAGATGGTACTTCACTACAGCTGCATTGAGGGAATAGTGAATGGTCAGCACTTTTTGGCACGGAGAGGTCTACGAATCTTTCATGTCGGCTCATTTTATGGAATGATCGACAGTCGATTGCACATTATATATTATTATAAAGGTACACCTATTTAAATTTGTGCGTTGATGCGTAGAGCCCGTACATACATAGCCAAACTGTTTTAATATGACTTATTCGTAAAAAAAACGCACTTCACCGTAAATTCTAGCTATACCATAAGTTACTGTTCGGATGAATGCTTTTCTCTCAACAATGTTTCATCAACCGAAAATATAGAAATTTTGTCATTTAATTTTAAGCAAGCTCTAATCTACGCTGTATATTCTTTAATCGTGGGGTCAGCAAATGCTTTGTAAAAGCGTTTTCGGAAGAACGAAGCGCTCTGGAATGTTTAAAGCATCTTATTCACTGAACTTATATGAATCCTTACGTTTCTAAGAACAACAAAGACCAGATTACGTATCACTGATATAGCAAGGACGCGTTGAGCTTGAAGTGATTAGGATCATAAAGGCTTACAAACATAAAATTTTACTGGTAGTCGTATTCTTTCATCAAATTAACACATTCATGCGAAATGTATGAACATCCAAACAAATCCTAAAGACTAACATCTGAAAAATCTGCTGACCTCAGGCCGACCCACTGCTGTTTCTAAACCTTTATTACTGCGTTGCGAGAAGCCTGCAAACAACTCGTTTTGCAGGCAAGAAGCTCTATATTTATGTTTAGCCCGTATGAAACTAACTAGGTGTAGAAAGGTTTTTAGGCCGGCAATGAAGTTGGCATTGCTGTTTCAGGTAGAACACGAAAAGCGTAAGCTTTTTCTAAAACAGACATTTCACACAGCATCGAATAGTACCTGCCATTGCGAGAAATGGTGACAGGTATTTGTCGACTCATTCAAATGTTGGCGCCATTCTCGACCGGGCTGTCATCACGGACAGGGCGCAATGTCCTTTATCGGTGGTCGTACAATTGGTAGTCGACTGAACGACGGTTAGACAGCTATCAAGTTATTGCTCACAGAGACGATGCGCGAAGCGCTTGAAACAACCCACACTTATGGGTGCATACATATGGGGTAGTGTCTTTTCTTCTTCAGCAATTATTCGGCCGACGGCTTCTGTCATTTGTACCGGCTACAACAAACGCACCTAGAAAACCGATACGTAAAGGGCGTAGTTCAATATGGACAAACACAGGGATAGCACCGGGTTGGAACGTCGTTAATGCTTAATATAAGAAGGTAAACGAAGTCGTGTAAAATGTCAACCAAAGGAAAATATGAGGAAATTAGTATTTCAAATATAATAGTAACATGGACGCCTGTCTCCGATTGGTCTTATTATTGATGTTTGGAATCGAGTAATCAAACATGAATCGCTTGATTCGGCTGAAATACGAACATGTAAACTGATGGCTTTTCTGCAAACAGCTCTTTATAGCCGTGAAGAAATGCGGCTTTTAATTGAAGTCATCTGTATAGATATATATATAAGACAATGTGTTGTCTACCAACGTGTTAAGGATAAATGTTAAATCAATGAGAACAACACTTAATCGCAGACATTTTCAATGGGTGAAGTGACTGTTTCTATCTGCGCGTTCGAATATTTCGTCATTTTCGAGACTATCGATTTGCGACCATATTCCATAACAGTTTTTTTGTTCGGATCCCTTTACAAGATTATCAGCCTGTATCTTCGACTCTCCAGATCGTTTAAGGTACTTGAAGGAGGAATCTTCTAATGAATTGCATTGCTCTATATTATTGCATATTGAAAACGAACATCGAATGAGGTCCACATGTACGGAGGGTGGGAGTGAAGCAGTATTTTTAGTCAACTTCATCTTTGACGCAAGATTGCCAGCCAGAACGTAAGAACTGATTTTTTCGTTTGACATTATCCAATTAGCGGGCATTTTGTTAGCTTTGCCAAAGAAACGTCTGTCTTGCTCCACATCCCCGTTTTACTGGTAAGCAGCTAGAAGATCCGTGACAGTAGCTTCTACCATGCTTTCTGTAATAGCTCCAAAAATGCGTTTTTTTTTTTCTTCAACCTACGATCCTTTAAGGTGAAGAACGCTTTTAAACAGCTAAATTGTGTTCATCTGGTTTTCGTTTAATCTATATGTCCCGCTGGACTGAACAGAAAGTCTTCACTATCGCAGTTCAATCAGATCAGAGGTAATAGACTTTCCCGAAGTCGATAGACTTCAAGACAGTCTATTACCTGAAATTTTTTTTTATCCCATTAGCATTTATTGAGCGTCCCTAAGACAAGTTCTGTGTGCTATGCTCACAGCATCAATCACTTCGTGTTCTGAGCATTTATCTACAAATAATTTAGGGAACCGTTAACTTTCAGCTTAGTCAACAAGCCTTGCGATGAGGTAGTTTTAACATTACTGCTCAACTGAGTATGCAATACAAACTAACTTATATCTTACATGTCCAGTTACCTGTGGTCAGGATGTACTTCAAGGGGAACATGACATTGTCATGCATCCGATAGATTATCTACCATATTATAAATAATATATACAAATTTTCTTTTTCAAAACTGTCGGAGCACAAATTACGTCTTCCGTAATACTGCGAAGATATTTTACGGCACCGGTTGTGACGCTTAAGCCACAACGATGAGCTAATACGACCATTGCTCGTCTGTCGTTCAAGTGGTACGCGCTTGAACCGTGTGATCAAGACGAAGAAGAGCGGCTTCGAACGTTTGGAGTCGATGGTCGGTGGGGCTGTCAGATTAGTCTGACCATAGAAGTCTGCTCTGCCGTTCCCATCATCAGCGTGAACTCAGCGTCTTACTGTTACATATATCTTTCTATTGATTCTGTTGCTGTTGTTGACGCTGTCGCTACTGAAGTCGCTCTTTCTTTTGTGCGGCTCTCTCTAGCCATGGCGCACTGCAAACGCATTCGACTACGACAGGCCTTCTCTTCGGTGTCCTGGTCACAATGCTTTTCATTTTATTGCTCAGTTCACTAGTAAAGCCTATCATCCGGCTGTCTTTTTCTCCTGACCCCGCACCTTTGGCCACAAAACAGTGTAGCATTGGCCATTATTGCTGCTGCTGTTCCTAAGCTGATGAACATGGCTTCTGAAGGCGTAAAACCGCCTAAATCGGCTAACAGCAACCTACTGTCCTTTGGTCCTACACAAGCAGTATTCTTACTCGAGGGAAATACCAACATTGATATTACAACAACTAGTATAAGCATTTATTTGATTCCTACGGTAGGATATGGAGGCGAGTGGTAGTGGTTCACGAGCAAACCTTTCATTCGTCTATACGAATCCTGAAAGGCTGGCACACTACTCAGTTGAATAGGATAGGCTTAACGTTACATATAAAACAGTGGTAGACGATGGAGAGAAAGGGTAACGAAGAGAAAAAATGGCAAGTAGAATTTACGCCTATTTTTCATGGCTTTACGAACCAACATATCTGTTGGCTTGGACCAAGCAGCGTCAAGCGTTGAGATTCATTGGGTTATAAATGACGGAAATGAACGGGCTTTGCATTGGTTTAAAGCAACCAAAGCACTCTGCCGGGACAAAATAGACATAGGATCAATCTCCATATATAAGATACGTCAGCGAAGGGGGGGGGTTTAACATTCGTTGGATTTGTTTTTGCTGGTTCTGTTGCTGCGCTACTGGGTTAACTATACGAATATTTCTTTCTGGGAAGGTCTCTAAGATGTAAAGCTGACGTCGATTTAAAGGGTTTGTGGAAAATGGCAATCGTGTTAAATATTTGAGAGTTTGTAGCGAACTATGATCCTATTTCCGTAGGAGGACATAAAAGGGACACGGGGAATGGAGCTTATACGAGATGATGTGCTCGTTTTTTGACCGATTGGTAAAAGATGATCTACCAGTTTACTTGTTCATGAACTAATGAATGAATAAGTTGATTATTGTTGGATTTGAAGTTTCCCAAATCTGTATCGTGCTTTTGTGAAAAGTTGTATTTCAGTTTTGTGAAAAGCAATAATAATAATAATAATTTATCCAGTGGCGCGTTTAAATATACGGGTTGTTACTTAAAGAAACGTTACTGCGTATCTCCGTTCTTCGACGCTTCACATGATGTTCTAATATGTAGCGTTAATATGTTCTGAAGTGCAGGAAGCATTGTAACGTTGTGAGTTTTTAGGCATACGACTTTTCGGTCGGTCTTATTGTATGTCAACGGGGTCCATTAAACAATGAGACTGAATGACATACCTGACTGTGTCCTTGTTCATTGTGCCTGTTTTCAGATTCACTGTGAGGCCACGTTATTTCGCTTTTTCAAGCTATTGTGATGTGATCCCTAATAGACGCCCATTTTGGAATGCTATCGGTGAGTGGAGGGCTACATCCGTGCAGCTGGTTCGCGACGCCGTCGGCAGGTGTATCTCGTCGGGGAAGTGCGATTCTCAAAGCGGGCTCGAAGGTCCTACGAGAAATCGACACTGTAAGTACGGATAAATCGCGGTGTTGTATATCGGGCCCAAGTAGGTGCTTCAGTCGAAAGAGAACGGAGAGTAAATTGCTCATAGCCTCGTGTTATCTGCTGGTGGTGATATTTTTTTTACTTGTGATCACATCGGAGAGTGCGCAAGCAAAGAGACCCAGAGTTCGGCAGCATCACAAGAACGCCCGCAATCCAGGGACGTCAGCCGATAGCAACGATATCGGTCTTCTCGACTTCAGCGATCCAGACTTCGGTAAGTTCCTGGATGGAATCGTAGGTTTTCCGCACCCGTTATCCGTCCAACTCATCGACGGTGAGAAAGCCAAGAGCTAATCAAAGTAACTAGCCTTGCCGGCCTAAAAAAATAAGCGATTCCACATAGGTCAGCCCTGTCAACTGTGAACTTAACATCGCTAGTTAGCTAGCTGGCTAGCTAATCAGTGATGCTAATTAATAAACAAATTATTCTGCTCGTACAGGACAAATTGTTCGTTACGACATTTTAGTAACTTATCAGCGATAATGTTCGACCTCTAATAGCGTTCAAATGTTTCGTATTAGTTCAGTATCTTATTTAGTTGGCTGTAATCTGCTGTTAAAGTGAAGTTAGAAAACGCGAACTCGTTAAAATGTCGCCCAAGTAAACTATGTATAGCAAATTCTAACTGAATTAAGTTCTGACAGGCTAAAATGCCAGAAATGTAAGAGCTCAAAAATGGCCAATGACTATGAGGCGCAGGAACTATCAAAAAGGTAAAGATTGGGGTTTATTTGAACGATCTAATTCACATTCGATATTCCATTATTCAAAACAGACCTCAATTTCGATATAGAAAATTTGTATATGATAAAAATGGTTTTTAAGCCATTTCGATGAATTTCTGGCCCGTTTAAATTTATTAAGGTTTATTTACATTTAAAGGTTGCAGTTAGTTAGCAGTTATTTTGTTGTTGCAGTTGGTTGCAAGAGGTCAAATACGTTGTATCAATACTACAATAAGCACCAGGTAGAAAGGCGGCGGCAATTCAAATCTGTTTGCTATTATGGCGTCGCAGGTATTCCGAACGGGCCGAACTTCGAAATATGGCGTTCGCACAACACCGAATCTAGTTTACTAAAATGTTATATGTCGTCGTATACTTAACAGGTGATCTCGTTTGAAAAAGAGTTTCCTATTCCAAAAAAATTTCGAGCTCATAAAAGCGAACACGGCATTATTTTTAAGTAGATTTCTTAATCTGATTCGAATCAATGCTTAAAAACAATAGCAAACCAACATTCGGATTATTTAGATGTCTACACTTAGAGAATAAATATTGTACGCCTTTAGGTAGTGAGAACCTTGTGCCGTTCAGCATATATCTGAGTGCAACTGACACTATGTACGAGTGAAATTTCTACTTAAATTTATATTGAGTTCAAAGAACAGAATACTTGGCTGTTAGCTAAGTAAAGATTTGGTAATTGCTCAAATTAATTACAGATTAAAGTTGGGCTTTCATTCTCAATAAGCGGTGAAGTATAGTAGTCTCAGGCTTAACATCACCGAAAACATCAGCGTGGTGCTGCACTATGATCTGAAGTCTCTGTTGTAGTCATACATGGTAATGGAATGAATCGACCAACACGATACGTGAAATGTCTAACTCGCTGAACGATATTATGCTTCTGGTCATCGACCTCATTAGCGTCTATAAACTGATCAACCTCCGCCTTTCAGCACTTCTTGTTTTTTAGAAAATGAATTTTTTTTTACCACGGGTAGGACACAGTAACTACCAGATACCTTACTGTTAGATATAGATCAGACCTTGCTTCGAAAGATATATGCCATAGTCGTTCGTATATAGTGGCGCCCACCGTTTATCAATCGCATTGATACTTTCCACAGGAGGGAACGTCTTACTTTTAATATAACGTGGGTTAAGTTGTGGCTCAACGAAGACGCGGGAACGAGTAAACTGACAGCACGCTGTTCCATTAGTCGCTATTGATCCGCCGACTTTTTTTAAAGACTGAACGGCATAAACAGCGAACGTTTTCCTCTATATATATACATATATATATATATATATATATATATATATATATATATATATATATATGTCACTAATACTAATATTTTAATACAACCTTCAATTTTTCTCTTGAATCATTACGCGCAAATCATGCATCTGCGTGACTATTTAAGGAGGCAGACAAGACATTCTAATATCTTTTAATAATAAATATAAAGGATTTTTGTTTGTTGGGGACGCTGTTGTTTTCTGTGACATCATCATACGGAAATATAAATCATAACTATTCACCGATCTTAATTTGGGTGCATTATTTTAAAGGATTTATGTGCATCTAGGAAAATGTTTTTTTACATTACACTTAAATCACTTATTATTAGTACATTATTACCAGCTCCGACAGAAAATTCTGCTTTATCTTAAACTAAGTCTGACACTAGGTATCCTTAGATTCAGTCCAAGGTCATAAAATAGGCACTGAACTGACTGATCTCATCTCCCTGATCTCCTCGAAGTAACGGAAAGGTGTGTAAGATTTTTTTTATACCGTTCTAGTCCACTGATAAATTTACTCATCTCGGACATAATTGTGGCTGACAAAGCGTGATTAATATCGATCCTTTATTTCAGAGGCACGCAGCCTGCGTGTATATGGCCTGGTAGAAAAACGATAAAGCAAAAAAAAATCATAAAATTGTGTACTGTGTGTAATATTATCCTAGTTTTACTATAATTTTATGCGGAATTTTAAGTTGAATAGGCTAAAATGTATACCGTATTAGTAGCTTCGTTAAAGCTTCGATAATATGTTATGCTCTGATTGGTCAATAGGACCGCGCGTGGTGTTTCATATGGTTATTATTTGTAATATACATAAATTTTTTTCCTTTGAAAACATTTTGTTCATAACTGCGGTTTCCGTATATATCGATACCGTTTATGTTGATCCTCCGACGGCTCTGTCGCCGTCTGGCGCCGTGTTACTTCATCATTAAGTATTATAGTCAATATACTTTTGGATCAAATGCTTAGGAAAAAAATTCAAGTGCTATTTATTTTAATCCGCCTTAAAAACTGTAGCCGCTATGCGTTTTCCTATTTGTGCATGGTTGAAATTTATCATCAATAGCTCGATTGCACGCCGGTAAATGGAAGGCTTTCGGTCTATGCCAACTGCGTGCATCTTTATCGCTATGGGTAAAGAGGATGGAGATACTGACACAAAGGAGCACGCACTACTACAAAATTATCGTAGTTCATACAGTTCATTGAGCAGATTAAAGTTAGTGGTAATGATATAATTCATGCTTATTTACTAAAGAGGACGTTTACGTATAATATAAGGTGCCAAAGGTTACTTAGTACACTTTAAATTTACTTAGCAGGCAATGGGACGGATTGAATTAACTATCATGCGCATTTGCTATATAGGCCAAAATCAGACTGACGTAAAATTGGGTCGATAAAAAACTATTTGTATAATAATTAGGTTAGAGGGAGCTTTTTTGGGCAACGGTTGAATTTCTGACCCACTGTAGCCCCGGCTAAGTGGTGGCTTATACCACTAATGAATTGTTGCAGTTTCCAATCTACCGTCTACCGCAGCACTGGCTTAATATCTCGCTACGTCGACACCATCAACGACTATAAACTATGACCATCGAATTGGCCGAACTCGTTACACCGCCCATCTGATCTACATATAACAGTGGCAACTCTAATAGTTTTAAACATGAACTCTGGGCATCCCGCTATTTATAAGTTTAGAGAAGACGATATAGTGTGTGTAAATCGACAACTAATCAGAATTAATCGGCTTATTATTTCAATTCTCTTCTTCCTCCTCCATAGATTGTTGCCTTGTAATGTCCGTATTTGCAGAACGTTGTCCTAGAAAGATCCGATTGTGAGCTAGGCACTGCCAAAGGATGACAGATACATGGCTAATTTTTCCATTCCATGTAAACATAAGGCTAGTTTTTGTTATTTGTGATGTATGCGACACGCGCAATATGCGACTGTAACGGCAGTCATTAGCAGTACCGATGACATCGTAGAAAATTAAAGTTGGCTTGAACTTGGCAAGAACTGGCTTGCTCAATCAAAGCAGTTCAATGGATGGCTACCCAGACTGGACTATCTGACAATGCCAGTTTATTGAACTGAATGTGTCTCTAGTTGGGAAACGTAACTTATAAGCCTGTCGCCTAACGACCTGATACTCAGTGAGGTTCGTTCTTCAACTTTCTTGAATGGAAAAGGGCCAGTGCTATGTGAAACGATAGCTTACGACCACGAACAGCTAGCTCGTCTTATTTGAGATCCGAAATTCGTAGTGGTTAAGGTTCGAGTTCCTGTAGAGTAAACGGTGCAGCAAAGAGCAGCCACATGCGTATTTGGTTTTAATGAAGACAAACCTACAACAAAGGGCAACTTAACGCTCCTGCAGTGTTTGCTTGGAGGTAACAGGGCATATCGAAGGGCGATTCGAATCGGACTGTTTCGCTACGAGCGCGCACCCAATGTGTGTATTCGATGATGTCGAAAAAGGGGTCGACCTGTTTCGAAAACGGTATGATGCACGTAGATAATTCACTGTTAGATGTGTCGATATGAGTGTGACCCGGAAATGTCGCATTTTAGCTTAGCGTAAGAAGGGCAAGCAAGTATAATGGTATACTGAAGTGGGCATGCTGGGTCAAATTGCTTATTAAGGTCCTTAGTAATTAAGACTAAAAAAAGTTTGCCACTGTTACAGTAAAAATCACGGCTGAGTACACTCGCACAACGACACGACTGTAATAGAAGCAGTAAATCCTGTTTCAGTTTAAATGAAGTGAGAGACCTAACTGAGCAAGTTCGTACATCAGCTTCGATAAAATAGTTAAATATGAGAGAAAGGACCCGATTCATGAAGGTTTGGTTGAATACAAAAGCAAAAGGGCTTTCACAGATAGGATACATGGATGCTGCCTTTCAACAGTTACCACTAACCAAAAACCAATGAATTCGTAAAGATTGCATTATAACTCGTTTATATTATATGTTCGATAGCTTTAATCAAGTCAGTAGATCTGCACACAAAGAAATCTAAGATAAACGTTAAAAGAAAACAAAAGTTATGTGCGCATCTATTAAATGAGGCATCTTTGTGTGCCTCCTGCATCCTGACGGGTGTATGTACCGTGCGTATGGTAGTGCTAGAACAATCTATTGAGAAAATGGTCAGTAACC